CTGGCCACAGGAGTGAGCAATGCCTGGCCTGCCGCCATCTCCCACTCACTTTATGCCCTTGCTCCCGTGTTGGTCCTACATCTGCCCTGCTGACTTCATTACATGCACCTGCAGTTTAAAGACATTCCCTTAGGCTTTGGGAGACTTCACAGGGATGCCATGTTCTCCATGGCCTTGGCCCCATCTCAGCACCACAGGCTTCCCCTCGGCCCCCTTCCCATGCGTGGTCAGAGCGCAGCCCCTTCTCAGAGTCCCGTCCCCACCCCTCCTCCCAGGTCTCTTGTTGCCACCAGAGGGGCAATAAACCAGGCTCTCCAGGTGGTTGTACCTCATGCTCTGAGGAAAGGAAACCACGTTTCAGTGAGCATGTCCTATAGGCCAGCCACTGTCCCACCCCTTCTCAGTCCTCACAGAAAAGGGGGGTGCTCTTTTACCTCCTGCTGGATGGAGAAAGAAACCACTCAGAGAGGTGGGGCAATGAGCCCAGACTGACCGACATGCAAGCTGCTCGAAGGAGCCAGCTTTGAAGCCATATTGGATCAGCCTCTTTCTAAGGCTTTGCTTCTCGCTCTCCTGGCTGAGGTCTCTCCCCAGTTTTCTCAGGGGAGATAGAGGGGAACGACCCAGTAGCTTCTCCTGGCTACTATGCACCCACCAGAGTCGGCCAGGGAAGTCCTGTTTTTCTTGTGGCTTCTGCCATCTTCTTGTCACTCCTCTTGCACCTTCCGCTGGACCCAGGAGGAAAAGGAAGAAAAAACATCCATCTGCCTAAGCCATCAACTCCATCATTCTGCTGTTATCATTAAGCAATAAAAACACAGCCCTCACCCTGAACAGTACTTTACACTTTCATGTGCACGATCCCCTTTAATTCTTATGCCCCCACAACCACTCAATCAGCAAATCTGTCCTGAGTGCCACCAGCCTTGAGCAGCCACCACTCGGCTCTGAGATACACTGTGAGTAAGACGTGGCCCTGGCACTGGGGGCTTGGGGGCCTCTGAATATCATTATTCTCTGGGTTTTGCATAAGAGGCGACTTGTTCTCTCAGAGGGAAGTTTGACTTGCCCAGGGCCACACATCTAGGAAGTGGCAGGGCAACACTCAGATGTAAGTTATCTCATGCCAGGTCCTATGGGGTTTCCTCGCTGCAACCTTCATCAGCTTTGGGGGTCTTTTCAGAAATTGCTAGTTTTTATAAAGCTTTCACATTTATGTAGAAACATCTCTGTAGTCCGACAGGTCGGGTTCAAATCCCATCCTGTGCCTTGATAGCTTCTTGGCTTAGGCAGATGACTGTCCCCGTCTGAGCCCCAGTGTCCTCATTTGTGCTGGGAATAGCCCCTCTGAGCATACCTGGCTGCTGTAAGCATCTGCTGTACCTTCTGGCACTCCTGTTAGGGTCGTTTGCGCCTTAGGCTTCTGTTTCCCATCTCTTCCTAAAGCAGGGGTGGGAGAGCGCCCTCCCATCTTCCTCAGTGGGCAGCTTCTCTTCCCAGTCTTCCCAGCCTCCTCATCCAGATCCCAGTGGTTCTTTACAAACACAGGTCCAGCTTAGGGCGGCAGGTTGCAGGAACGGAATTCCTGTGCAACCAGAGGAGGGGGCCTGGGAAAGGCTAAGCCCAGGAGAACGGAGTCACCGGCTGGGGCTCTCCAATGAGCCCAGGCAGGCTGCTGGGTCTCTTTGAAGGATGGCCCAGAGGTTGCCCGGAGGAGGTTTCCCTATAGAGGGGAGGTAGCAGGGTGCTTTTTAAGCTCCCCACAGCGGGCTTCTGGTGGAGAAGAACTCAGAGTATCCTGTCCTCTGCTTTCCTCACCCCTCCCTTCATGCTAATCTACTCCTACTCCAGTCTTCTCCCAAATTCATCCCCTTGCACTGAAGAAAGTCCCTTTATACTCTTTCCCCAGATTTTTTCTTTTTTAAAATATATTTTTATTGATTTCAGAGAGGAAGGAAGAGGGAGAGAGAGACAGAAACACCAATGATGAAAATCATTGATTGGCTGCCTCTTGCACGCCCCCTACTGGGGATCTAGCCCTCAACCTGGGCATGTGCCCTTGACCGGAATCAAACTCGGGACTTCAGTCCACAGGCCGACGCTCTATCCACTGAGCCAAACTGGCTAGGTCACTTTCCCCAGATTTTCACATGGCTCATTCCCTTCCTTCCTTTAGGTCACCTCCATAGGAAGACCTTTGCTGACCAATGTCCAAAAATATCTCTACCTCCCTGCTCACTCTCGACTTCTATTCCTGCTTGTTTTTTTTAAGCTGCCATTACTGCCAGACCATCTTATCTGCTTATTTGTTTATTTTCTGTCCCTACACTGCAGCCTGAGCTGCACAGGGCAGGCCTCAGCTGGTGGAGCAGCACTCGGTGCTGGGAATGGCACTGGGTGCGTGGGTGGGCCTCCCCCGATGCCTGTGGGAGGGACGGCAACGGAGGGGAGGGCGTCCTCTGCGGGGTCGCCTCCAGACTCTCCTCAGCGCCTCACCTTCAGACCCCCTGCCGTGCTTTCCTGATTCTACCCTCTGACCTCGTTTCCCTCCTGTCTCATGCTGATGTTTGGCGTGGCAGGTTTTGAGGCATCATGTGACCTCTTCCCACATGACCTGTTCCTCTACCCAGGGAGCTTTCCTGGGTGTGACCCACTCCCAGGCCCACAAGGATTCTGGGATGGGGGAACCCTGGGGAAGGACTTAGGTCCTCAGGCCACCACCAAGCCCAGAACACACCTGGGTGGACACACTGGGCCCCCAGGTGGATCTCTCCTTATGGGAGGCCCAGTCCTCGCCAGTGTCAGCACTGGTCTATTGGAGAGAGTGGAACTATAAGTATTGGTGGTGTGTTAAAAAAAAAAAAGTGAGGGTTGGGCTTGCTCAGGCTCCAGAATCAAGTGGATCTGGAGAAGGAAGCACCTGAACTTGAAGTTTGTTCACACATGTGTTCATTCACTTGCTTCTTTGATGACAACTCACTGAGAAGCTTGGCTCTGGGTACTGGGAACCCAGAGCAGGTCAGTCCTGGTATGACAGGAGAAAGGCCTTGTCAAACCCTGAATTCAATGAAATAGGAGGAGCCAGTATAGTGATCTGAGGAGCCACGAGGGGATGGAGCAGGAGGAAGTGGGTGGGTCTTTCCTCCAGAAAGGAGCCTTCTGAGGGTGTTGGAGGTGGTGCAGGCCCTAAGAGGCCAGAGGGCCAGAGTGTGGGAAGAGGTGAGGTGTGGGGCTGGGTGGTGCTGGGAGACCAGGCTCAGAAAGGGCTCAGGCCAGCCCTGGGGAAGCTGAGGGAGGGGCTGGCCTGGACAGGTGAGAGGAGGTATGGGCAGGACAGGGCTGGCTTGTCCTGGTTGGGGTTGGGGTACTTGGCTAGGCCAAAAGGGCTCCTGCCCAGATGTCAGCCTGTTTTCCTCCAGGCGCAGGAATGCCTGAATCAATTCAAGGTGACGAGCACACAGTTGCGGCAGATCCAAGCCAGCCTCCTGCGCTCCATGGAGCAGGCACTGACGGGCCAGGCCAGCCCTGCCCCTGCTGTCCGGATGCTGCCCACATATGTGGGGTCCACCCCACATGGCACTGGTGGGTGACATAGACTAAGACAGGTGGCCAGGCCTGGGGAGAGGGCTGTCATCTGGGGGAGGGGGTAGTTTCTTATCCCTGTTCCTATCTCTAAGGTTCCCATCTCTAAGTTCCCTTGACCAAGACTCTGCAGGCCTTAGAAATGTTTCTGGGAGGCAGAGAGCTTGGTATCAACAGCTGCTTGCCTCTCTGTGACCACTTGTCCTCAGAGCAAGGAGACTTCGTGGTGCTGGAGCTGGGAGCCACGGGGGCTTCACTGCGTGTTCTGTGGGTGACCCTGACGGGCACTGAGGGGCACCGGATTGAGCCCCGGAGCCAGGAGTTTTTGATCCCTCAAGAGGTGATGCTGGGTCCTGGTCAGCAGGTGAGGGCTCCCTGCTCAGGCAGTGGGACCACAGGGTGGCTGGGGCTCCGCTGGGCAGAGCTGAGCCTCTCCCGTGTCCCCCAGCTCTTCGACTTTGCGGCTCGCTGCCTGTCTGAATTCCTGGATGCGCACCCTGTGGACAGACAGGGCCTGCAGCTTGGGTTCAACTTCTCCTTCCCTTGTCACCAGACAGGCCTGGACAAGGTGAGGCAGAGTGGGCATGGGGACGGTGGGGAGGGGCCGCAGCCCCATGAAGGCTGTTGGAGTGACCCCACTTTTCTCCCCCCAGAGTACCCTCATTTCCTGGACCAAAGGGTTTAGGTGCAGTGGTGTGGAAGGCCAGGATGTGGTCCAGTTGCTTCGAGATGCCATTGAGAGGCAGGGGGTGAGTGGGGGCAGGGGCCATGGGACAACCATGTGGCCTGCTCTGTGCTTCTGGGAGGGCCTGCTTTTCTTTCCTGCTTATATCCTTTATCCAGTTTATTTTTTATTTTTTAAAAAATATATTTTATTGATTTTTTACAGAGAGGAAGGGAGAGAGATAGAGAGTTAGAAGTATCAATGAGAGAGAAACATCAATCAGCTGCCTCCTGCACACCCCCTACTGGGGATGTGCCCACAACCAAGGTACAATGCCCTTGACCAGAATCGAACCTGGGACCTTTCAGTCCGCAGGCCACGCTCTATCCACTGAGCCAAACCAATCAGGACCCTTTATCCAGTGTAACCTTGGGGTAAATGCTGCTGCCACTCCCATTTTCTAGGTAAAGAGACTGAGGCCAAGAAAGGTCAAACCAATGCTTAGGGCCATGGGGGAAACAAAGATGAAAAGGCTTGACCCTGTCCTCAAGGCCTCTCGGTCCAGTGGGGAAAGCAAAAGACTGTCCCTGTTGAGGGGGATCCATGGCCCTGGGAGCCCTGGGGAGGGCCCATTGTGCCTCAAGCAAGGACTTGGAGGAGGAGACTGCCAGGTGCGTAAGCTGGGGCTGGGGAAGATATAGTTTCAGAGAAGGGCATATGCTAATGTCTTGTTGCCTGAGGAGGACAGGCTGTTGGAACTAATGGCCACTGTACTGTGTGCATGGCTGGAAGTCAGGGCTGGACGGGAAGGGCTTGGGGAGCCAGGCCAGGATGAGGGTGAGCCAGCAAGGGGCCTCATCCTGGCCTGGGAGTCTCCATCACAGACAGGGCCCCAGCCCTGCCCAACCCCAGGTTCCCCTGCTCTGCCCTCCCGCTGTCCAGGCCTGCAGCATCGATGTGGTTGCCGTGGTGAACGACACGGTGGGCACCATGATGGGCTGCGAGCTGGGGACTGTGCCATGCGAGGTTGGGCTTGTTGTAGGTGAGCCATGGGCCATTTGTGGCAGTGGGTGGGGGGCACGGTTGCCTGGTGGGCAGGCCCTGATGAGGTCGTCTCTGTCAGACACTGGCACCAACGCATGTTACATGGAGGAGGCGCGGCACGTGGCGGTGCTGGATGAGGACCGCGGCCGCGTCTGCGTCAGCATCGAGTGGGGCTCCTTCGGTGATGATGGGGCCCTGGGGTCAGTGCTGACCACATTCGACCGCATCCTGGACCAGGAGTCCCTGAATCCCGGTGCCCAGAGGTTGCCTGACTTTCTACTCTAGGCCCTTCTCTGCTCTGCTCCCCATCCCCTCCACTGTCCTGTGCGCCAGACCTGAGGGCCAGCCTCTCCCTCCCAGGAGCTCCAGGCTGCCCCTCAGGGGCCCTGGCCAGGCTCATAGAAGGAAGGGCTCTAGGTTCTAGAACTCAGAGTTCTCACACCTTGGCCCTCCCTTATTCCTGGCTCTGGCTAGCCCTGACAGGAGTTGGAGATTGGGGGTAGCTGAGTCAAGTGTCCCACCCTCCCCTTTGGGTCCTGCCACCCTCCAGAAGCCCCCTAACCCTAACCCAAACTGGAGGGGGCAGTGGGGTCTGGGTAAACACCCACCTGTCTCCTGGGAAGTCATTTGCTTCTGGAACCTCCAGCCTGGGGACCCTAAAGAAAATAACGCCTCCTTGAGGGCTCTCACAGGTGGGCCCATGTGGGCCCATGTGGGCTGAGCCTTAGGAAAACCTCTCCAGCCACCTTTCCGGCCGGCAGGTTTGAGAAGATGATTGGCGGCCTGTACCTGGGTGAGCTGGTGCGGCAGGTCCTGGCTCACCTGGCCCAGCACGGGGTCCTCTTTGGTGGCTGCACCTCCCGTGCCCTGCTGAGCCGAGGGGGCATCCTCCTGGAGCACGTGGCCGAGATGGAGGAGTGAGTGTGGGAAGCCAGTGGGGTGGACAGTGGGCTTCTCTGCTTGGGAGAGGGAGGAAGCTCTGCCCCCCAGGTAGCCACGGGGCTTTGGGGGAAGAGGGACAGGGAGCATCTGGGATATTCAACCCTCAAAGTAGCACCCTCTCCCCACAGCGCCTCGGCTGGGACAGCCCGTGTGCACGCTATCCTGCGGGACTTGGGCCTGAACCCGGGGGCCTCGGACGCCGAGCTGGTGCGGCATGTGTGCGTG